GGAAGGCACTGGTACATTTTTTGAGGGAACATGGAGTTAATTCCAGCACTCCGGCCACAGCCTAACACATGGTGGGTCCCAAGCCTGCCCAGGCAGGATGGAGCATAGCCAGTGCCTGCCTGCCTCTTCTAGCACAGACAGGCAGGCCGAGCCCCCACCTGGCAGCACAGTGAGCTGTGGCCTCTGCACTCCAGACGCCTCACTGTCCAAGCCCCACACACGGCAATTAATCACCGCTGCCTGGTGACAACTGTGGTATAATTATCTTGTATTATGAGTGAAGTCTCGCCAGCGGCCCAGGCCTCCGCAGAGATGCCACGCTCCACGAGAGCCAGGTTACAAGAGTTCTCTGCTCTCACCGGCAGAATCAGGGATGAGCAGAAGCCTGTGTCTCTGTCTCCCTCCATCTCTGGCTGTGGACTGGGGCAGGTCAGTGAGGCCAAGTCTACCGGGGTGCTGAATGCCTTCTGCCGACCACAGAGCAGGGGAGTCATAATAAGGAGTGACTGTGCCCATGCCTCCAGCCTCCTCTGGTCCTCCTGCCCTCATTCCCAAAGGTCAGTTAGGTTTCCAGCTGTAGGGGCTGTAGGCAGGAGCAAAATGGGACCCCTGAGCTTAGCATTCTAGCCAGGAACTGACAACAGCAAACACATTATTTCAGAGTGTGTTAAGTGCATCCAAACAAAGAAAAGTAGGAGAGAGGGGAGCAATTTTGCCGTCCGGGAGGAGATATTTGAGCAAAGGCAAAATTCTCAGGGTGGAGGGGACTAGCAGATACAAAGTGGAGACACCAAGGCCACGGCTCATGCAAAGAACAGGAAGGCCACTGTCGCCGGAATAAGGAAGAAGGAAGTCAGGCCTGGGAGGTCAGCAAGACTGCTACATAGGTTCCAAAGGAGTTTGGCCTTTATTCTAAATTCAGTGAGATGCGTTCTCAGAAATAGTTTTTCGTTGCCAACTAAACTGTGGTCTTTGGCAGTCATCCCCTGTCTATAATTTCCTGCCCATCCATCCTTTCAGCAATCGCTCAGGAAGCACCTACTGTGCGCAGCCTGGCCCTGGGATACGGCGATGACAAAACAAAGCCCCTTCCCTGGACACTTCCCGCAGGAAGGGACCCCTGCCCAGCTCTGCACGCTTGCTGCGCGGGTCTCACGCTCCCGGCTCCTGCGGCCGCCAGGTGGCGCTGTGCGCCTGCGCATGGGCCGGGCCGGGGTCGCCGGGCCGGGCGGGCCGGGCGGGGGAGGGGCTGCCGGGGGCGGGGCCCTCGCCGCAGGTTGTGTGACTTTGGGTTTGACCTGCCTGGAGATGAGCTAATCCTGCCGTATAATAGACTCCGGGGAGATAGGAAAATGGCTGCGCGCTATCTGCGTCGCCATGGGGACCATCGCGCGCGGGCGGGGCGCGAGCCTGGAAAAATACAGCCTTTGTGGCGGCGCGTGTCACTCACCGCCAGGGACCTCAGGCGGCGGGGCCCAGGCCCGTTCTCCCCAGCTGCAGTCTCCGCGGAGCGGCTCGGGGCCCAGGACCTTCAGGTGTCCCCCCAACTCCAGGGACGAACCCTGTCCGCGCCACAGGCCTCCCTCCGTTAATGTCACGAGCACTCACGCCACGCGGACAAGGCGTATCCCACTGTGTCGCACCCGTACCCACACCGGGTGCCCAGCCCGGAGTCTACACTCGCAGGCCCACGGGCCGGGACTCAGCCTTCCCCTCGTTCCTCCCGCCGCGCACCTGGGCGCGCACGCGGGAAGTGCGCTCACCCCACGTCTCGGGGCTGCACGCGGATGCCGCACTTATCCCGCATGCACGCCGCACACCGACCCGTGTCCGCGACGCCCCCTCTAGTGTGCGCCCTCAAACGGCGTCCTCGAGGGCAGATGCGTTAAGGCACCGGCAGTACGCTCACCCGCCATGCAGGTACACGCGGGTGTGCGCGTCCACTCCTTCACGCACGTGTGCCCCGCTCTGAGCTGCGCGCCCCGCACAAGCTCACGTGCAGCACCGCTCCCCTCGTGCACCTCAGCGGCCATCTCAGGCCACTCAGAACACACTCCCGCCACGCTTGTGCGCAGGGCTGGTACACGTGCACGTTTTCGCAGCACACTTGGGTGACACACTTATGCGCATCCCCCACGTTCTTGTCCAGTGTTCGGTCGCTAGCACACCCACGTGCTCCTCCAAACACGCCGGGCAGAGCGGGGCGCACGCTCGCTGGCTCGGGCACTGGGCGCCCGGCGTGCCCCCCGCGGACGCTATCTGCCTGCCCATCAGCGCGCGGATCTGCGGTGGTAAATGCTGCATTCGATGGCGGGCGCATTTGTTGTGCGCGCTCTGAAAGGGCTCCGATAATCTGGAAGGCAGAGATAAGGAACACCATTTATTCCGCGGCACTTTGGAAACAATTCCCAGCCCTGTACAACCCCATTCTCGGGCAACCTCCGGGAGCCGGGCAGATAACGATTGGCTATTCATTATCTTCGCCGGGAACAAAGATTAGCCGGCCGAGATGAAAAATTACCCCGGACAGCGGCACAGCCCCGCGCAGACCCCCCTGCCCGCCGCCCACCTCCCGCCTCGTGCCCCGCCCGGCCCGCGGCCTCGGCGCTTATGGTCCTGATGGGCCTCGGCCTAACGCTGGCCTCCGCGCTCCTCTTCGCAGCGAGCCCGTCTCTCTGCCCACCTCGCTGGGCCCTCCTTTCCTTTGTGTTCCCAGTCTTCTCTCCACGCTGGGCCTCTTTCCCCTCCTTGCTCTTGGAGCCCAGTCCGAGCTTTTCTCTCTTTTCGTCTTGTTTCTCTCCATCTATGCACCTCTTTCCTGTCTTTCTGTCCGTGCCTTTCTCTGGTTAACACCTCCCCTGCCTTTATTCCATCTTTTTGGTTCTTTCTGCCACTTTTTAGTTGTTTATTTCCATCTGTCTCTGAGTGTCCCCCAACCCCTAACCTCCACCTTCTTGCCTCTGTCCCTTTTACTTTTTAAAAAAATCTGTCTTTGGGGTTCCCTGTCTCTTGCTTCCTCCCTTTCTCTGTGGATCTGTCACTGGGTCTCCAATTCTCACAACCACTGCCCCTAGAACCCATTTTTCCAGGCTTCATACTGCCTGTCCTCTGAGGGCTTCAGAAATTGGGAGCCACCAGCTAGGCTCTGGCCTGACCAGCCCAGCACAGGAGGCAGATGGTGGGTGGGATGGTGCAGGACCTAGAACCCCTTCCAAGGAAACCAGACAGCCCTAAAAAAGGTCCTGAAGACATGGGTCCTTATGAGTTCAGAGGGGTTTGTCTGCTCCAGGACTGGTTACCATGCCCCTCCCCAAAGGGAGTGGGGGGCTTGGGAGCGGGTGGTCCCAGGGAGACCACCTCATTAGGGCGGTTATTCAGCATGGAGCTGGCAACTGCAGATAAGCCTTATCAGCTCATCTCCCACTCCCACAGACAGACAGAAAGTGCCCCAAGCAAATGGCCCCCTGGAGCCCCACCGGTGCCCTGCCCTGCTGGTTCGTGAAGGTGCACAGAAACATGCTCCTCCATGGACCACGGACACAGGGTAGCAACTCAGAGAAACATGCACAGCTCTAAGATCTAGTCATACACCTGGGTGTCCAGACCTCCCATATGCCAACACAAACACACATCCCATCCCAACACTCAACTACTCCCTGGAACTATGCACACACATATGGGATACTTCTGCTCCTCCCCACTGTCACGCTGATACCTACACCATTTAAGACAAATACACAAGCGCACACACACAGACGTGCAGACAAAAATACACACCCCGACACTCACCAATTAGCAGAATTATACATGGATGGGCAGGCACATTGCAACACACCACACTCACCCTAGTTCAAAGATACACAAAATAAGCAGGCACACGTTATTAAGGACAGATGCATACACCACGGCACACTCAAATCCACTGAAACACTGTATATTGCGTACTGCTACAGGGACACATGCTACTTTACAAGCACTTGGAAATACCTACTGCCTACCACATAAGTCTTGGAGATGATGATCCCGTAGACACCCAGCCATAGGGACACACACCCGGTTCCACAGACACTCCCCTGCGTACACTCACAGGGATGCACTCTGATAGTCACACCATGATCTGCTACCCACAGATCCACAAGAAGAAAAGGCTGTACTAATACACTGTTTTGCAAACACTCCTGTGTGCTCACCAATACACACACAGGTACACAGGACACAGATATGGAATGTCATGCTTAGAGCACATACAGAATGAAAACTATCACCACCACATTAAAGAGACCCACAAACATCAGGCAGGCAACACAAAGATAAGGAGACAGACTCATTCCCTCTCTGGGGGACACCACACACACACACACACACACACACACACACACACACCCCACTTCCACAGACCTGCCAGTCTTTTCAAAGCAAAAGCACTTGTCTTTGGGCCCCAAACCACTTTCACTCCTTCATAGTGCCTTTGGTGGTACAAGGACCAGACTCTCCTTTTTGACAAACTCAGGAACCTTCTTGTGGTGAGAGTTCCCACCCCATTCCTCCTCCTGGCCTTCTTTGGAGAAGCCCTCTGCTCCCTTGCTGCCTGGAATGGGCCAGGGAGATACCAGAAACTATTCCTAAAAGGCTTCGGGTCTGCTCCTGAGCTGGGAATTGGGATGAGGATGGGGGTGCATCTACACTTAGCCAAGCCACCAGGGAAGTGAGGGAGTTGTGTGTGTGCCAGAGTGTGGAGCTACACTTGAGTGTGTGCACGGGTGTGTTGGTGTGATCCAGATCGCCTGTGCGTGTGCACAGATGTGTGTGTGTGTCCCTGTGAGCACTGCTGGAGGAGTGCTGGAGGAGGAGGAGGAGCGGGCGTCTGTGTACCTGCGCGTGTCCGTGCGTGTGCCCCGGGCTCCCGATGGTCCCCAGGGAGTCTCAGAAGAGAGACATCGCGGGCTTTCTGACCATGCAGCCAGGAGAGCAGAGGCGCGCTGTGTGTGAGCCCTGAGAAGGCGGGAGTGGCCCGGAGTGTGGCCGGGCAGGGGGAGTGCGCCTGGGGCGCCTAGCGGCCCGTGGCCCGCCAGCCCAGCGGCTGGACCAGGCAGACAGGGCGCAGAGCCGGAGCACTGTCCTGCCCCCCTGCGGCGCTCCCGCCCCCTCAAAGTGATGTCGAAATAAAAAGCACAGCGCTGCGGCCAGGACGAGAGAGAGGCAGCGAGAACCGAGAAAGATAGCGGGGCCAGCGCTGCCGGGGCTCACCGCTCCAGTTTCCATCGCTCGGCTGCCGTCGCCCCCACCCTAGCCGGCCCCTGTCGCCCACCAGGCGGACAAAAGCGACCCGCTGCGCACCATGCGGTCGCTCTGCCCGCCGCCGGGTCCCCACTGGTGAGCGCCGCTACCCGCGCCCGGGCCGCCGTCCGCCCCGCGCACCGCACCCGGCTCCCCGCTCTGCCCTGGCCGCGTCCACCCGGGGGCGCCGCCCACCACGCCTCACCGGTGAGTTCCCTCCACTCCCACCCGCCCGTCCGAGGCCCTTCCGTCCTCGGGCTCGGCCCGCCAGGCGCCCGAATCGCACGGTCCGTTTGACCCCGTGGCCCCTACCTTTAGGGCTCGCCCAGCGGCTCGAACCCCGGGTCATACGGCCTAAACCCGGAGGGCGCATTCGAGGACCTGGGGAACTGGACCTGCCTCGGGCCTCCGGCGTTCGCATTTTTTTCCGGAACCCTAGGCCGCGACGCCCGGCATTCCCAGAGCTTCGCGAAGCTCCCCCTCCCGGCCCCGAGCCGGAGCCTTTGTCTCGGCGTCCCCCCACCCCCGGGCCCAGCGGCGGATGCGCCCGAGCCGGGCCGCTGCGCGGCGGCTGCACCTGCCGGCTGGTCCCGTGCGCCGGCTTTGCGCGGCTTAACCCGGCTCGCGCCTGCCTGCGCCCCCGCGCGCAGCGCCCCGCGGCCCTTTATCCTGTGTGGCTGGGGTGCAGGTGGGGACAGATCCCTCTGCCCAAAGCCCGAGTCGGAATCCGTTTAGTGGGATTTCAAGAAGAACGCGGCCGCCGCGGGCTCAGAGACCTGCCGCGGGTAGGCGTAGACGGCGCTCTGGATCTGTCTGGACGCGGAGCATTAGAACCATTCTCTGGCGCCTAGGCTTGAACTCGGGCTTGCTCCAACCCGCGAAGGGGAAGGCCTCGCGTTCAGGGGCTCTGGGTGTGTCGGCCTCTCTTTTACCAGAAAACAAGGAAAGAAATTCGTTTTTTTTTTTTTTGGAAAATGTCTCGTCTCGCAGGGTAGGGTACATCTGGTGGTGAGCTCCAGGTCTACGCAGGCAACCCGTGCAAGAGTCGTTTATGAGCAGGCAGGATTGAGAATCGGGTATGGCCAAAGAGGTTGCCCAGGCGTCTGGAGAGTGCTTCCCAGCCGGGTTGACAAATTGCTAACAAATTGCGTCTAACGAAACGGATTTAGCAGTTGTCTTGCCATCAGCCGCAAGGCCTCTGAGTGAAGCAGAGCGGTTGGTGGAGGAGGGAGAAACGCGGACCGATTGTCTGCGGGCCTGGGCAGAGCCCCGGAAGGCTGGACTGGAGGTAAAGATTAGAACCTGGCAAGGAGATACACAATGTCTGGAGCGCCTGGGCCCAGAAACACCTACATTTCCTAAACACTAAGAACTGAATAGCAGAGCAGGTCAGAAGGCCCGGAAAGAGGGAGTCTTCTGATTTGAGGGGCTGAAAGCAAGTTCCAAAGAGCAGGAGGTACTTTCGAACCCTCTGGAAAGATGGCTACTGCCAGAGCAGACCTGAGTCCTCAATTTAAAGGGGACTCTGATCCTTACTATCCATTTCGTCCCCCCACTTCCACCAAGTAGCCCTCAAGGCTTAGTGCCAGTGTGGAGTTGGGGGACCGGAATCGTTGGGCTGTGAATTAAACACCCAGAGTGAAAGGCAGTCTGGAAGCAAAGGGGTTTCCTTTGCAAACCCCCAACCCCAACACATACTGCAGGCCAATTAGCTGCCCACAGGAAAAGGTGAGAAGAATTAGGTTACAAAGGAGGGTAAATTTGTGATCCCAGAGGGGCCGCCTCAGAAGAGTGAAGTTTAAACAAAGGGCATCTCGGTGAGGGCTGCAGGACTGGGCAGCTCCCAGACCCTGCCTGGCTGACTGTGCTTTTTAGAAACCAGGAGGTACTCCAGAACCCCGCCTGGATTGGTGCTGCCCTAGCTCCCAGGCAGAAGCACCCAGACACACTTCAGGGATTCAGAGTCGCTTGAAAGGGGTGCTAGAAAATTCAGTTTCACAGCTGACCTCCCTCTTCCTCTGAGTAATCTTGTTCCCACATAAGGAAAGTGACAACTTCCAGCAGGATGGAAGGCGGTTTCCAGCTATGCTCAGGAATGAACAAAAAATTGAAAAAGGAAAAGTAACCCTGGAAGGTTTTTCTGGGGACCCCCTAATCCAAGGCTGTAAATCGGAGTAAATCTCCTCTCTCTTGGGATGGGGGGAGTAGGGCTCAACCCCAGCCATCCTGGGGGCTGCCCTGCCCTCCCTGACATTTGTTTGGAGATAAAGTGGCAGGACTGTCTTTGGCCCAGTGGGTGGGGTCTTGGCTGCTGTCCGTGGACACACATATATTCGGCAGCGCAGGCCGCCCCCCTTTTTTTTAGCCAACTCGGCGCTCTGCTAGTTGGCCCCGCAATTTTCTGTCGCCGGCGGGTTCCTTCCTGCTGGAGAACTCAGCAGTCCCGCATCCAACGCAGGAGCTCCAGCCTTGCAGAAGGCTCAGCCAAGCTGGCTGTTGCTTACTACTTCCAAAAGGGCATACCCAGGGCCTCAAGGGACCTGGCAGAATCCCCTCTCCTTTTTTTGCTCTACACCCAGATTGCGGGCACGCAGGGTCTGGTTCGGGTCTCCGGAGGCCCCTATTCAAGCATTGCTTAACCGCCCTGTTAAGCACCCCCTTCGCCGGCGATTTTCTGAGCTGCCGAGCGGGGTAATTAAATCCCCGCCTGCAGTCCGCTCTGCGCCAGGAGGGTGGGCAGCGCTAGGGCTGACAAGGGGCCTTGCCAGGCCGACCACCTAAACCCCCCTTGGGAGCCAGGACACCGTCCCCATCCGAGATCATGGCGCCAAAACTGCAGCCCCTACCTCCCCTAGAAGGGGGCATAAATGTAACCAGGCCTTCGGGAGAAAAAGGCGAATTACCTGCCTTCCCCAGGTCTCTGAGCGGCCACCGCCTTGCAAGCCGAGGCGCCGATCGCGGCGGGGCGGAAAGCTTCCGCCCAGCTCGGCGTCCACCGCCCAGCGCCGGTGCAGCCTCCCGCGCCGAGTCCTGGGGTCTAGCTTCCAGAGGGGCATCCTTGCCCAACCTGTGGGGATCCCCGTGCCTGCGGTGTCTTCAAGAGGCCGCAGAGACGCCAAACAGGCTCCGTGGTCATCTCGTTTTATGCGTTGATGAAGAGTCGTGAGCTAAAGGAAGGGAGAAGTTGAGACAGGCGCACGGAGAAGGGAGTGGGCTCTAGCCAAATCGCTCGCGTTGCGGGGAGCACGAACCTGGAGTCGCGGAGGCCGCTCACCTGCCACGCCGGCCCGGCCCGGAGGCCCTGCGGCCGCGGCCTCGCGCTCTCGATCCGGCCCCGCGCCGTCCCTGGCGGCCGCCGGCCTCCTCCGCGAAGGAGCGGAATTCCAAGCAGCCCAGGCCCTGCTCGCTCCGGAGTGGAGAGGAGTGGGAGCCGCAGCGGGCGGCCGGACCAGTGGGTCCCCAAGGCCCGAGGCGCGCGGGTTTCCAGCCCCAAGGAGCTCTGTGCCCCCCGCCCCCAGCCCCACGCCTTTACCTGCGCCAGGGCCTCGGACGGACAGACGGACGCCAGACGCAGAGGCAGGAGGAGGCCCCAGCCTGAGCCCGCGCCCCCTTGGCGCTGCCCAGAACTGGCTGGGAGGGGGCGCTGGGGGCGCTCCCGCGGAGCCGAGCCGGGCTGGGCGCCCCCCGAGCCAAGGGGACCGAGGGCTTTCCTCCCTCCTCAGATTATTAAAAAGTTCATTTCCTGGCGAATCGGGTGACGTCAGGGGCCCGGCGTCGCGGTGGCTGGGCCGCCCGGCCGGAGAAGCCGCCTCCAGTTACCCAATTACCGACTGTCAATCCTGCCGCCCCTCCCCCAGCCCTACCGGGGGGTGGCCGGGACCCCAGCCCTCTCCCTGAACCGGACCCACCTGAGATTCTTCTGGCCTTCTACCCAGACGTCGTGGTCCTAGCCAGGGCAGAGGGGCTGGAGGACGTGGACGACACCCCTATCACCCCGCACCTGTCTAGGTTCCCCCAAACGTCTTTGGGTTGCAACCCTGTCCTCGGCCTCAGGCTCCCGTGAAGCCTCGTCTCTCGTCTGTAAAATGGGAGGCAGTAAAGAGATTTGAGCACCCGGCCCACTGAACCCAGAGCTGAATCTCTGGGATGGAGGTGTTGTGGACAGCAGTTCCAGGTGACTTAGGGGACAAAGTGCCCAGACCACCCCCACCCCAGGGGCCGCCTCGGGGACCCCTAGGAGGAAAAAATGCCTCCTGCCCTGAGCGTCTCCCTCAGCCCGCGCTGGCGCCAGTCCGGGGCTCCGCGGCCTCGCCCCAGGCAGTTCGGCCCGGTGGTCTGCGAAGGCCACGCCCGGAGAGGGTCAGCCCCTCCCCCTCTTTGGAGCCGCTGGCCAGGCCACCTCCACCGTCACCTCCACCGGTCAAGCGTAGCTTTGCGCGGCCGCGTGTCCGCAGCCCAGGTACTCTAGAAGGCCCTGCAGTTTTGAGGCTCTCAGGTCCCGCTGTCCCGCTGCTGCCCGCCGAGCCCTCCCCAGTCCCCCGCTCAGCCGGCCCCCGAGTTGGGGAAGGAACGGTCTGGGTAGGTAGTGGGACTCCAGCCGACCACGGTCAGTGGCAAAGGAGGCGGGGCTTCGTCCTAGAGCGTGGAGGGGCTGGGGTCCGGCGGAGAGGACACCCAGGGGAGCGCGGCCCGAATTCCTGGGAAGACAGGGCCCCTGTTGGTGGCTAGTTCCTGGGAGGGGGCCCAGAGATTGGAGGGCTCCCAGAGTGTCGGACAGAGGGGGTGTAAGGCTCGGCTCGAGACGAGGGTCCCGCGGGTGGAGGGGGGGGGCGTTGGCAGCCGGGGCCGCAGAGAGGGCGCTGGGAGGGGGCCCGCCGCCGAGGGGGGCCCGCCCGCGGGTCAGTCCAGGAGTCCAGCGGGCCGGAGCTGCGGGCGCAGCCAATGGGGGGCGGAGGCTGGGCGGCGCGCGGCGCTGATTGGCTGGCGTCGGCTTCTTAGGCGTGCGCGGCCCCCGCTTCATGTCTGTGCAGGAGTCGGCAGCTGGCGCCAGGGCGGCCGGAGGATGCCGAGGGGCCGGAGCCGGGCGGGCCCGAGGCCGAGCCGCGCGCTGTCCCCCGCCCCAACCCCGTGAGCCCGCCAGCCTCCGAGCGCGCCGCAGCTGGGCCCACTGCCCCCGGGGCTCTCGCTGGTGCTCCCCACTCTCTGCTGCGTCCCTCCCCTCTCTGCGGCTCTGCGCGAGTAAGTTTGGGGTGCAAGAACCGACTGGGGGCCTGGGGTGCTCCTACATTGAAGGGGTCTCTGCGAGGCCTCAGGGTCGGGGCTAGGCTCCCGATGACCTCTTTAGTGCGCCTTGGTGAAAGATCCTGACTGCAGCTTGGGAGTCCGCTGGGGGCCTGGCTCTTAGCCCGTGCGTGATTTGGGGGTTCGAGATCAGTATGTGCATCCGCTACAGAAGTAGAGGTGTGTGTGTGTGTTTGTGTGTATGTTTGGGATCGTCTGCCCCCGTGGGTGTCCGGGCTCCTGTCTCCAACTTCTGGTCTGAGTTCATGTGTTTGTGTCCCCAAAGGGCGGGGGCGCAGTGTGAGAGCCTGACTTCAGTGAGGTTCTTCGTGCATTTGTTAGGGTCGCCGGTGTCAGGGCTCGTTCCTGTGCGTGACCCCGTGTGCATGGGTGCGTGATTCTGGGACGGCAAGCACCATGTGAGTGTGCGTAGCAGAGCCCCCTCCCCCGCCTTCCTTTCGTTTTGAGCCTTGCGCTTTCCTCCCACCCGGGACCGGTCCTCGGCGGAGCTCCGCTGGAAGATCACTGGCTCGCAGGACGCTGCGCGGCGGGACTTTGGGTGTGTTGGAGGCTGGCAGCGTCCCTCACCCCCCCTCCTGTCGCACAGGGCCGCTCCTGCCTCCGCACACATCCCGAGAACCAGCCGCGGGCCATGGAGGTGGCGCCGGAGCAGCCGCGCTGGATGGCGCACCCCGCCGTGCTGAATGCGCAGCACCCCGACTCGCACCACCCGGGCCTGGCGCACAACTACATGGAGCCCGCGCAGCTGCTGCCTCCAGACGAGGTGGACGTCTTCTTCAACCACCTGGACTCGCAGGGCAATCCCTACTACGCCAATCCGGCCCACGCGCGGGCGCGCGTCTCCTACAGCCCAGCGCACGGTGAGCCCTGGGCCCGCGGGGGACTGGAAGCCAGGCGCTGCGCGCCAGGCCAGGGAGGGGAGGAGGGCCCGGTTGCTCCTTCCCGGATGTGGGATCCGCAGGAATCGGAGCAGCAGAGAAATCGGGCGGGAAAGGTGGGGGCAGCGGTCTCTCAGGGAGGGTCTGGGACCTGTAGCATGTCCAGCTGGCCTCTGAGGGATCCCTCCAGGCCCTGTCGCATTGGGTTTTTCTAGCTCTGGACTGATGCATTCCGATTATTCCTGGGGGGAGGGTTGGGCTCCTGGTTTTCTTTGGGTGGGGGTTACTGCTGATTGTTCTGTGAGTTGTAATCCTGGGTGCCATGCTGGGGGCTCAGCTGGCCATCCAGAGCCCACCGTGATCCACTTTCCCTCCTTTATAGCCCGCCTCACCGGAGGCCAGATGTGCCGGCCACACTTGTTGCACAGCCCGGGTTTGCCCTGGCTGGATGGGGGCAAAGCAGCCCTTTCCGCTGCTGCCGCACACCACCACAACCCCTGGACCGTGAGCCCCTTCTCCAAGACTCCGCTGCACCCCTCGGCTGCAGGAGGGCCCGCAGGCCCGCTCTCCGTGTATCCAGGGACTGCCGGTGGGAGTGGGGGAGGCAGCGGGAGCTCTGTGGCCTCTCTCACCCCCACTGCAGCCCACTCTGGCTCCCACCTCTTTGGCTTCCCACCCACACCGCCCAAAGAAGTGTCCCCTGATCCTAGCACTGGGGCTGCCTCCCCAGCCTCATCTTCTGCAGGGGGTAGTGCTGCCCGGGGGGAGGATAAGGACGGTGTTAAGTACCAGGTGTCACTGACAGAGAGCATGAAGATGGAAGGCGGCAGTCCCCTGCGCCCAGGCCTGGCCACCATGAGCACGCAGCCTGCCACACACCACCCTATCCCCACCTACCCCTCCTATGTGCCCGCCGCCGCTCACGACTATGGCAGTGGGCTCTTCCACCCCGGAGGCTTTCTGGGCGGCCCGGCCTCCAGCTTCACCCCTAAGCAGCGCAGCAAGGCCCGATCCTGCTCAGGTAAAGGCAGGTGGGGACTTGATTGACTGATTTCAGGGGTGGCGTTTGCCTGGGGGAAGGGGCTGTGATTGGAGTGGGGCTGTGCAGTTCACCTGATCTGAGGATGTTCCTCTTTAATATCCAAGTCGTGAGAGGCCCCAGAATGGGGAGAAGGGACCCTAAAACTTTTGCTCTCTTCTTCCGCACCCCTAGTAGCCTCCCGAATTCAGTTCCCTTCCCTAAACCTCACCATCCCCTCTCCAAGGTCCCCACCACGTCCCGCACAGAATGGGATCCCTTTCCCCTTCCTGAATCTCCTCATGACTCAGTGGATGAGAGAATGCAGGGTGTAGGTGAGGCAGGGAGTCTGTGTGTGCATGTGTGTACGTGTGTCTGTGAGCTGGAGTGCATGCTGCGGGCAACTCCAGAGGTTCCAGACCCAGCAGGAATCTGGTTCTGCTGCTCAATCAGTCCCATCTTGGGATTTCAATGGCTCCTGATCTCCTTGGGAGATTTCCCTGAAGCAAAATTCCCAGGACCTGTTTGTGCCCCTTGCCCCCGGCATGTCCTCCGCTCCCTCTCCCTGAGGGCTGGGGCGAGGGGACAGAGCGCGGGTGCCCGCACCCCTTTGCCAGCGGTAGCTGGACCAAGCTGGGTTCATCCAGGAATCTGGCCGAAGGGCAATAACCCATGAGAGCGTGGGGCTCCTTCCTGATAGCTTTGAGCCAGGGAGGGGGAGATTTTTTAAACATTTACTTCTGCATTCAGGAACCACCTTGTTTTGCTGGAATATATAGGTAATTTAGATTAATCTAAATCTAGAATTTAGTTTAATTTAAACCTAGAATTTAGTTTAAAAGAATTTCCTGGGTAACATGTCTCCAAGGCACCCACTCTGGTGGGCTCCAGCCCCCAGCTCAGCCCGGACTCCAATTGGGGTTCCCCCATACTGCATACTGCTCGGACCAGCTCACTTGCCTTTTCTTAGTCCTTTCTCACAAGTTTGTTTTGCATTTGTTTGAATTCCAGATGGCCGTTTAACGACAACAAAAAGCCTAAACAATAAAAAACAAGGTCACTTAGTTTAAAGTGAAAGAGCTTATTATTATTTTATTTAAAGAGAACAGTTTCGATCAGGGTGCAGGACCAAATTCTAGGGCTCCAGCGAAGGGAAGGAAAATCGGACTGAGCAGAAAGACAGTGGGAGCCCAGAGCGTAGAACTGGGAGGACGCTGGACGTGGTAGACACAGTTGGGGAGAAAAGAGAGGAAATACAAGAGGGGAAGAGAATGGGGGCCAAGTGGGAGGGTGAGAGGCTCCCCAGAAAGGAGCCTGGTGACTCCTAGACAAGCTCTCTGATCTCTTTCCTGGTTGCTGGGTGGTTGGCTCAGAGGATCCTGGGGGGCCCTGCGCTCCCTGCTCCCCACCTTCCTGGTTCCCCACACTCCTCAACTGGGTTTGCAGTGGCAGGGATTTGACCTTAAGTCTTTCTGGACCTTTTCCATGAGGACCTCTAGAGTCCCTCTTCCTGTGAGGCTGGGACTAAAAGTCACTCCCTGATGCAGCGGGTTGAGTGGGTTCTCAACTTCAGTTAAGCCCGTGTCTCTCCCTGTCCCCTCCAGAAGGCCGGGAGTGTGTCAACTGCGGAGCCACAGCCACCCCTCTCTGGCGGCGGGACGGCACCGGCCACTACCTCTGCAATGCCTGTGGGCTCTACCACAAGATGAACGGGCAGAACCGGCCACTGATCAAGCCCAAGCGGAGGCTGGTAGGAGCCGCAGAGGGTGGGGGATTGAAGGTGGCGGGGAGGGGGCCCACTGGGCCGCACGGAGAGGGCATCAATCTGGGCAGGAGCTGGCAACTAATTAGGGAAGAAAACGAAAACAACCCAGCATCTTCGAATGCAGACGCTTCGCCACCTGAAATCCTCTCATCCTCTTATTAAAACTACTGGGGGGTCAGTTCAGGTCGCCCTTCTTTCCTGGCCAGATTCTTTCCTGCCAAATTTCCACCTCTGCAGCCCAACAGGTACCCTTGTGCTGCCTTGTTCAGGGACCCCCAAAATGAGTGTCCAAGGGCCCGTCCCTTGTCCTCTGGCCTCTGCTTAGCTCTTTTTAAAAATAGGGCCATGAAGTACTTTTCCCTGTGGCCGGCTCTGGGCAGCCCTCCCCAGCTTCCCAACTCAGTCTCTCTGTGCTTATTTAAATAAAACACACACACCAGCCACCAAAAAAACCTGCCCTTATTATTTTTCCATGGAGTCACCTATACTGTGTATTTTCATTTGAGTGATTTAAAAAAAAAATGCCCTTTCGGATCTCCTGCCGGAGTTTCCTATCCGGACATCTGCAGCACAAAGATAAGGAAACTCCGTGTGTCTGTTTCCGGACCCTGTGAGTTTTTAGAGAGCCGCCTCGGCTCAGTCCTGCCTCTCGCTGGGCTGTTTTGAAATTTCTGATACCCTCCACTCTGCAAATAATGCGTAAAATGCTAAGAATAATAAATATATTTTTTCAGGGAGAAGTGATTTATGAGCTTAAATCGTTCGCCGGCTTTGGGGGCCCTTTTTCTTTCTTTTTCCCTGGAGCGAGGGCAGGGAGAGGCCGGTGGGGGTAGGGGTGGAGGACGCGCTGTTGGCCCCTGAGTCAGAATTCCAGCTTCAGGCCGCTTACTCACCCTCACCCCTCCCTGCCCCCGTGGCGGGCCGTCCCTCGTCCCAGTCCCCTCGGTGGCCAGGCTCGGGCCTGGGGCCGTTCCAGACTGTGCTGGCCTCAGCTCCCACCCCCACCCTGGCTGCCTGGTGACACCAGCCCTGGTGCTCTGGGACGTGTAGGGGAACTCCTGTTTGTGGGCCCGTTGCACTTGGTAGGATGATCAGAGGGGCCCTGCGTTCTCTAGTGAAGGGTCTTTCTGCCTTGTGTCTGAAGTGCCTTTCTCCAGGGACCAGACCCTCCTCTCCTGACCCCACCTCTGCCTGGCATTTCCTGAGGGGCTGGTCAGGGCGGGTGGCAGGCTAGAACTCTTGGGGCATAGGGGTCTGGATAGATGAACCAGCCTCATAGATGAAAATGTCTTGTCTCCCGTGCCGTGTGTGCTTGTCTCCAGCCACGTGTGACTGTCGATCACGATCACTAGGAATGTGGCTAGTACAGTCTAAGGCACTGAATGCTAGATTTTCTAAATTGTAGTAAAAATTAATTTAAACCGCTCAATGTGGCTAGCAGCTTCTGTTCTGACCCGGGCAGCTCCACACTCTCAAACCCGGCATCCACATCCCCACCCCAACCCTCGGTCTTCAGGCACAGCCGCAGGGTCTCCCTGCCCTGGCCTCAGGGCCCATGACTCACCCAGGAGTCTGGATTTCCAGGGGAGTGGTGAGGAGGAGACAGAAACCCTCCTGACCAGGGGCTCTGGAGGGAACAAAGCCACCTCAGGGTGCCCGTGCTACTAAAGAGCCTCAGTTTCCCCATCTCTACAATTAGGTTGTCTGGCGATTGGGGGAGGTGGCTAGTTTTCCCTTCTAGCTTTTACAATCCTGTTGATTCTAAGATTGGGCTTCTGAAGGCTCTTTATTCCAAAGTTCTGTGATCCGCAACTTGTTAGTTCTCAAATTCTGAAATTCTCCGGTTCTGAGATGCCCTGATTCCCCCATGAGATTTACTGCTCCTGAGCTAAGTGGTGGGGGTTGAGGGGCAGTGCTGGGGTCGGGGAGGGAGGTCGAGGTGGGGCGTGGGAGCCCAGCCTGCTGACGCTGCCCCTCTTCTCCCAGTCGGCCGCCAGGAGAGCGGGCACCTGTTGTGCAAATTGTCAGACAACAACCACCACCTTATGGCGCAGAAACGCCAATGGGGACCCCGTCTGCAACGCCTGTGGCCTGTATTACAAACTACACAATGTGAGTGCACCCCACCCTCCCCAGGGGCCTCTGCTCTTTGTGTGCGGGGCTGTGGCAGCCATAGTCTCCGGCTTGGCTTGGCTTGGGAAGCCGAGGCTGGCTGTCTGCGAGGTTGCCCAGAGCCCCAGAAGGGCTGCCGCAAGAGGGGCTGCTCTGTTCGGGATGGGAGCCGGGTCGGGCCACAGGTGCGGGAAGGAGTAGCTCTGTGTAAGAAGTTTGGGACAAAAGGATTCCGGATGTCCTGATTGGGGCGGAGCTGGCAGTTGGTAGGCAGGAGAAGATGTGTATTGTCCCATACAGGGACTTCCTGAAATGGTGACAGGGCTGGCCGGCTAAGGGGACTTTGGTGGGTGCTGCTGGAGGTTGAGCCAAAAGCAGGGTACTTGGCATCCTGGGAACCCCTCATCCCTGTCTCCTTTGTCCCACGCAGATGCAGTGTGTGGGGACCTTGTGGGGTGGGGAGCATGCCCCTGATGGCTTTGTGGTTGCCTCTAGGTTAACAGGCCACTGACCATGAAGAAGGAAGGAATCCAAACCCGGAACCGGAAGATGTCCAACAAGTCTAAGAAGTGCAAGAAAGGGGCGGAGTGCTTCGAGGAGCTGTCCAAGTGCATGCAGGAGAAGTCCTCTCCTTTCAGCGCCGCTGCCTTGGCTGGACACATGGCCCCTGTGGGCCACCTTCCACCCTTCAGCCACTCGGGACACATCCTGCCCACGCCGACACCCATCCACCCCTCCTCCAGCCTCTCCTTTGGCCACCCCCACCCATCTAGCATGGTGACCGCCATGGGCTAGGGACAGCTTTGCATTGGACACAGATAGATGTGAAGGAGGGTGACTGGCAGAGGGTGACACACCCTTCACTGTCCATCCTTCCCCGGAGACTGACACCGCTCCTGACAGCCCTGCCGGAACCCAAAGCCACTGTCTTTGGGGGCGCCCAGTGGCCTGCCGCCATTACTGTGAATATTTTCCACAGGCCAAGGCTGCCTCCTGACTGTGTGCAGCCCCGGCAGGCTTTCCTTCATGGAGAATTTTTGCTTGGAGAGCAAAAAAGGACCACTTTATGGCAAGAGAAGGAGAGGACAGGGGACAGACAAATGCAACCATTTTTTGAAGGAAAAGAGGAATAGGCAAAAATAATTTATTTTGCTCTTGTTTCTAACAAGGAGGTGTAGACTTGGAGGCCTGGGCTGTCCCACATTCTGTGGATTCTTCCTTGAGGCCAACCCCCGCGTGACCTGGCTGTGGAGGGGACATCTGTGGGCCTCAGCCTGCACCCGCTTTCTCCCTAGCGTTCCTCTGTGAGACCACTGAACTCCAGCCTGGGCTCAGCCATGGTCAGAGGGGCCAGTGGCCCAGGAGGGTGAGCGCTTGCCCTGCCTGCAGCCCTGGAGGGCAGAGACAATCGCGGGCGGTTCTGCACAGGTTCCCAGGCCAGGGCTGGGTCACAGGAAGGAAACATTTCTTGAAAGGGGAAATGTCTCCCAGATCTCTCCCTTGGCTTTGAGGCCAGAGCTGGCGTGACCCGTGATCCCCCAATGGGCCCGGGCCCAGGCCACAGGCCGGGTTCTCTGCCAGGTAGACCCCTGTAAATATTCTTTTTCTGCTAACCCCTTGACCCTTCCCCCCATTCTGAGACAAATAAGAAAATATTAAAAACAGAACAAAAACTGCATAAGCTTAGCTCTGACGAGTTGTTTTATTTTTCAACTCTTTGGGTCCAGGCAAATGTACACTGCCACAGAAGCCCCGCTACGGCAAGGAATTGAACCACTCAAAGTTGGGGCTTTGCGATTATTTTTGGAATAGTTCTTGAATCCCATGGCCCTACCCAGACGGAGAGCTGGGGGGCAAGCTTGGCCCCCATGCTCTGGGTTTCCAGGGCCTGGTGGTCTGGTTGGCTCTGGCTGGCCTGGCAGGTGGTGGATGAGCAGAAGCCACCAGGTCAGTGTCAGGGCTGAGGGGAGGCATATGTCCCTGTTGGGTCCCAGGATTCTGCTTTGCTGTGGCTGTCTGGATCCTTCCAAGGTACAGCTGTACATAAATGTGTCCCACGCTTAGAGTCTGTGTGTGGTGGCGGCGGGGTGCAGCAGCCGGCGAGGGGACCCCAGCCCAGGAAGACGAGTGTGCCGATCAGTCGACCAAGTGCAATATGGGCACCCCAGCCGGAAGTAACTTATTTTGTACTAGTATCGCGTAAGAAAAAGAATCGGCAGTATTTTCTGTTTTTTGTTTTATTTTGGATTAGTAAACTAAGTTATTGTTAGTTACGTACATTTATATATTGTCTGTAAAAATTGTATGCTATCCGCCTATTCCTTTAAAGTGAATACTGTTAAGAATAATAAAATACTTTTTGTGAATGCTCTAGCCTGGCGTGTAGGTTCCAGGGATGAGGAATCCAGAGTGTGGGTCTGAGCCGTCTGGTCACATTGCTGTCCCCTGGGGTGGCCTGAGGGGAAGTCTCCTGGAGCAGAGGACAGGGCACTGCCTGGCCCTGGGCCAGCCTTGGCTTCTGACATCCTGATGGACCTCCCCTGAAAGTCTTCCATCTGAGCCTCCTCATGGATGCCTCGTTGGAGGTCCTGGGGCAGGGTGGAGGCAGGGCAGGCACGGGTAGGGGAGAGGGGCCATTCTCCACACTTTGGTCATTCCCTGAGAGCTCAGGGGGGTTCCCACTGAGGTGTTTGCAGAACCCAAGGACTGACCCACCCCAGCACCATTCAGCTCCTCCCAGGCACTGATCAGCTCTGGTTCTGTTCATTGACAGACCTAAGCCCCGACATCTTTGATCACTGATATGGCTGTCATCTTTGATCTATGATCAGTGATAGTTGCCATAATTGATATTCCTGATCAATGACATATTTGATCACCAGAGCCTGCCCTCAGAGATGTCTAATGACTCCCAACTCTGGCTCACCAATATCTCAGTTCCAGATCTGCAAGGTGTCTAGTCACTGACACGAACAGAATGTCTCCAGTAGCGTGTCTCTTTCCTCACATCTCTGATTGTTGTGAATCACCAATGTCCCCTGTCGCTAATGTCTTGGTTCATTAATGGTATGATCACCAATATCATTGTTAGCTGTTTTTTGCTTCCTTTGTGCAGTGGGGAGGAGGGACAAGGTCCCCTGCCTCAGCCTCCTGAGTAGCTGAGACTACAAGTGTGCACCTCCACACTAGATGATGACTGTTTTTTGTAATGATCTGATCACTCAAGCGATTTTCAACATCTCCAGTCACAGGGTTCCTCACCACCGTGTCTATAACAACGTCCTTGGTCACTTGTTTCTGATTACCAGTATCTCTAACCAGCAATGTGCCTGATAACCAATGTCTCTGGTCCTGGAATTCTCTCATATTCTATACCATGGCATCAGTGATTGATTGCTCACCTCCAATCAGCAAGATCTCTGGTCTTCAATGTCTCTGATGCCCATCAGTGATTGCTGGCTCTTCCCCGAAGTCCCTTCTGCTCCTGATGGCTGACCTCCCTGCTCACCTAGTCATCGATAAATCACCAGCATCTTTGATCGCCAATAGATCACACAGGGCTCTTCTCACCAAGATCTCTGGGCTGTAAGTCTCTGATCCCCAGTGTCTCCTCTATCTTTGGTTACCAAGGACCTGAGTCATATCCTTAGTCACTCATATCCCTGATCAGCAATGAATGACATATGCAATCAATGAGAGCTCTGATCACCGGGCCCTCTGAGCACAGCCTCTGGTCACCACTGTAGGATCACAATCCTGTCACAAGCTGAATGACATTACCTCTTATGGACTCCTGTTCTTTGATGACATCACTGATCAGGGGTACCTGGTCAGTCATTATCTGTGGTCATTGGAGTCCCTCATGGTTAAGATTGCTGATTCTAACATCCTTGTTCCTTTGTCGCTCCAATATCCACCTGGCCCGTGAACGTATCCTTTCATTCTTCCTATCCCAGACTGCTGGTGCCGCAGGGCCCTTGCACAGAGTGTGGTCAGGGGGCGGGGCCAGGTCCTGTGAAGATCAATACCTTGTCCCAGGTGCCCCAACTCTTTGGGATGAGTGTGTCTGGGATTCAGAATCTCAGAACACTCTGTCCTGGTGCTACCACTGCTGCCCTATCCACATCTTCTCTGCAGAATGGATAGTGGGGAGAGACTGGAGCCAACCTGGTACTTAGCTGGGCCGCCCTGGATGCCCACTGCCTCCTCAGCAGTTCAACTCTGCCCAACAGTAGCCACAGTCGGACAGGGACTGCCCTGTCCCTCAGGTCACAACTGCAGGGTGCTGTGTGTGGGTGTCCATACTGAGCACTCCACATACATTCTAGGTATTGGGGTCACACTAGTGACTGCAACAAGAATCCACGCCCTGCAGTTTACGTCCCCAGCGTAAGAATGATCAGGCAAAGTCCAGAGCCTAGAGTCTGGAATCTGCAGCCTAGAACCCAGAAACTCGGACTCACAGCCCTGTGCCCAGAATTCAGGGACCTAGATCCCAAAATACAGAGCACAGAGCTCAGACCCTAAAATCCAGGACCCAGGGCTTGAAGCTCAGGACCCACAACTCACCAAGAACTCCAAGCTAGGGCCAGGAGCCCAGATCCCAGAATCCAAACCCCAACACACAGAGCCCAGAGCCCAGGGTCCTGAGTGGGGACCCCAAATCCATAACCTAGAGTCTAGAGCACTGGATCCATAACTCAGTGAGGAGGACATGGAGCTCAGAGTCTAGAATCCCACACCCAGAACCTAGAACTTGTCTGAGGACCCAGACACCATAATACAGAGCCCAGAACTCAGAGCAACCATCAACAAGATCCTGTTTCTCTGACACTCCTGGCTTCTCTCCTTCCTCCAGTCAGCCCACATTTTGGGAACAGCCAGAGTCAGGTGCTGAGTGCTGGAAGGCCAACCAGCAGGTGAGCAGGCTCCTGGCTTGGAGGGCACAGACCTGTGAGTTCTCACTCTTGTGTCTTGGGGTAGACATTTCTCAGATGTCTATTGAATAGATTTACCCCACACAGACTCATTGATCTTGCTTCTTGTTCTCCTTGCTAGGTGAGAAGGACACACAGGACCCTTGCCTTGGGCAGGGGTGGGGGGTATTGGGGTGTTGAGTGGGGTGGGGTGAGGGCTGCAGGTTCATGGTCCAGCAAGTCACTTGGGAGCCACAGAGCCTGGGTGGAGGAGGCTCCTGTTCCTGACTTCTGTTTCTTATAAAATGATTAGCCCCTACTAATCGTTGCTCTGCCATTGCTCCCAGTAAACAATTTAGATTTTGTGCACAAAAGCACCCAGGCAGGCCAGGCGTCGCAAGTGGCTGCTTTTTGCAGGGTGAGGGCTGCCTTTACAATTCCACAGGGCCTGGCGCCAGGGTGACCAGGGTGGGGTTGGTCTTTGTTCCATCTGTTTGCACCCAGGTGGGGCTGGGTTGCTCTGCCCTTCCTCCTTTTTCCTCTGGCTGGGACTCTTCCAGGCCTGGCTTCTTACTCCCACTTTCCATAGGAAGAAACCAAACCTCCACTATAATTCTGAGGGACCAGCTCTGTCCTATCCTCAGTTCCTCCTGGTGAGCTGTCACCAGGAAAGGGAAGGGAAACAGTCTATTGATCAGTCCTAGGGCCATACAAATCGACTCTGACCCAGGGAAAATGCTGGGTGGAGTGCCAGCCATCTACCGGACAGCAGAACAAACTCACCTGAGGCAGGAAAGACCACAAACACCACTGAGCAGTCCCCTAAATGAGTTCATACTAGTTGATCCAAATTCCTCTAGACCTTTTTTTTTTTTAAAGGCAAAGTGATTCCAAACTTTATCTGGAAAACAGGCAAAACCAGCAGGAAAAAGTCTGAAAATGTGTGTGTGCACATGTGTGTGTGAAAAGCTCCAGCATAGGATGAGAGTCTATGGTGGCAATTGTTCAAACCTTGTGCTCCTGCTGTAAGAACAACAGATCAATGGTGACACAGACCATATTATTTACAAGATAATGGATGATAAAAGAGTTATCCCAAATCAGTGCAAGGTGGGGGCTGTTCAACCAAGAGGGGTTGAAGCAACTAACTGGTGCCTGTCTGGGTGAACACGGACTTGGAGGTCCTAGCCAGCCAACTAGAAAATTTTATTTGGGCTGTGTGATGTTTTACAAAATGTGGATGAGCTGCAAGTGGTTTCAAGCCAGGATAGAGTCACATATGTAAGTGAAAGGGAGGTCTGGGCCCTTTTGCACCTGTCTGCTCCAGTGAGGGAGGCCGGCAGAGCTTTCCAAAAGGTCCCTTCCCATCTCCAGCAGGGACCTCATCTCTATGCCTACTTGGGTCTTGGGGACTCTGAGTATGAGTGCTGACAACTCCACCCAAATGCTTGAGACATCTTAAAATTTGTACCTTGTCACTGTGGTGCTGGGGTTTGAACCCAGGGCCTTGTGCACTCTGCCACCGAGCCACACCCCATCCCTGAAGATTTAATCTTGAGGTCAACTATTGCAACTTACCTAGCTGGATCACCCAGTTTGGCTCCCCACCGAGGGGGAAACTGGAAACAGATATATATAAAGGTGGTTTTTGTTTTTTTTCAGCAGGAGGGGTGACCGAATAATTTGTGACAATGCTTCTGAAATTAGC